GGTTTGGGGTTGAGGGTTGAGAGGGTTTGGGGTTTGGGGTTTGGGGTTTGGGGTTTGGGGTTTGGGGTTTGGGGTTTAGGGTTTAGGGTTTAGGGTTTATTGTTTAGGGTTTAGGGTTTAGGGTTTAGGGTTTAGGGTTTAGGGTTTAGGGTTTAGGGTTTAGGGTTTAGGGTTTAGGGTTTAGGGCCCTGACTTGGGCTTTATATGAGTTGCTGGTGACATGTGGGATGGCTCCTCAAACCCTGAAAACCCTTAGAGCCCCAAACCGCCCGCCGCAACCCTCCCAAAACACGAACCTCCTCTTCAACAATCCTACACCGGTCCTTGAGGTTGGCCATGGCGTCCTTCATCTCCTTCAGTGCCTTCAGCTCCTTTCAGGAAGGCCCGAACGGCCCCCACATGGGCACATTCGCCCTGACATCTCGGGCCGTTCCCCAAACTAGAAAGGATCCAGGATATGAGCGGCAACTGTCACCAAAAAAACCCGATGATCCTCCAGGCGGCGCGGGGTGGGCACCTTGTACAAGCTGCTGATCGCCTCCGCCTTCCTGGGATCTCGAGGGGAGCGCTCAGCTTCGGAATGTTGCAAGCTTGTGAGCATCTACCGCATGCATGCTGACAAGAACGTTACTTGAATTTGGAGGAAAACGCCACTTACCTGCCGAAACACGGTCCCGCCGGAAAAAATCTTCGCGAGAGAAAAAAAGACACCAACATCAAAAGACTCTCATGCTTGCCTCCAAAAGGTTGACCGAAGCCCGCAGGTGAACCGCAAAAAATGGGGTAACCATGAACTACTATTTGCTTAAGAACCCCAAAAAGAACAAAATAATAACCCCCATATTATACCCTTAGTAAGGAAGAATATTTTTCATTTTTTCGGGGTTCTTAAGCAATTATTGCCCCTTAATAAGGAAGATTTGTTTTCAGGGTTCTTAAGGAATTCGTAGTGAAAGCCCCAGCATCTTGGGGTTCTTGATGATGTCGCCCTTGGCGCAGGCCGCGTGCACGGCCGCGCCGTACGGGGCCATGGCCGCCGCGGAAGTGATGATGCCTGGGGGCGAGGATGGGCACGGGTTTAGGGTTGGGGTTTAGGGTTTAGGGTTTAGGGTTTAGGGTTTAGGGTTTAGGGTTTAGGGTTTAGGGTTTAGGGTTTAGGGTTTAGGGTTTAGGGTTTAGGGTTTAGGGTTTAGGGTTTAGGGTTTAGGGTTTAGGATTTAGGGTTTAGGGTTTAGGGTTTAGGGTTTAGGGTTTAGGGTTTAGGGTTTAGGGTTTAGGGTTTAGGGTTTAGGGGGATGGGCACTCCAAGCTTGGAAGTGTTTCACCACTCGACCTTTCTCAGGTCTGACTTATAAAGTCAAGGGGTAGTAGCATGTGATGATTACGTGTCGTTGTGCCCGTCTGTGCAGCAGTACTTATGCACTTGCAGCGTGTTTCCCGTTCACTTCGCAGGAAGAGGCCCGGGACGACAAGAAGTCGTGAAGCAGAGCGCAGGTGGGATGAGCGCATGAAGACCGTCTTGTTTACGCCGAGCGCTGTTTTCGCCGATGCGCCGTTCCGCCGACCCTAACCGGAGCGAAGTGTCAACTCGCTAGGGCTCTCGCAAAACTCGGCAAAAGGAGGGTGAGGAACACTGAATTATCCCTCCTTTCTACCCCACAGCCATACAGTAATCCCTGAGAACGTGTACCATTCTTGTCCCAGATCCCGGTGCCTGAGATGCTTGCGCCACAGAGCGCGCTGACATCCAGAAAGTCCTGGCGCAAAGGCAAAAAAAACGCCCAAGTTCCTATCTCAACAAGCCCGTAAACTCGTAGTAGACGCGACATAGGTAAGGATTGAGCCTCCTTCCTTTGCTCATGATTACCAGGCAAGACCAAGAAAAAATCGGAATTGAGACGACTGCTGGCAAGAACCCAGCGCATGTCTGAGCTGCTTGACTGTTGCCCTAAACCCTAAACCCTAAACCCTAAACCCTAAACCCTAAACCCTAAACCCTAAACCCTAAACCCTAAACCCTAAACCCTAAACCCTAAACCCTAAACCCTAAACCCTAAACCTAAACCCTAAACCCTAAACCCTGAACCCTGAACCCTAAAAGCCACCTCTGCACCCTGAAACCCGAAGCAGTCCTGGCAGTGAACCACGATGAGGTTGATGAACGTGACGACCTGAAAAGCGAGGGGCTCAAGGAGATCGAAGGAAGACTTGGGGGTGTAGGGTTTAGGGTTTAGGGTTTAGGGTTTAGGGTTTAGGGTTTAGGGTTTAGGGGTTTAGGGTTTAGGATTTTGTGGGTATATTAAGGGTTAACCCCATTTTTGGAAACCCTTTGCAGATGGAGGCCCCGCAAGAGATGAAGCTTCGTCCCTAAACCCTAAACCCTAAACCCTAAACCCTAAACCCCTGAACCCTAGACCCTAAACCCTAAACCCTAAACCCTAAACCCTAAACCCTAAACCCTAAACCCTATCGAACCTGCCTGGCTCATGTAGGCAATGGCACCACCGATGTCCACGGTGCACAGGGCGCTGTAGAGCCCAGAGACCTGCAGGTTTAAGGTTTCGGGTTTCGGGTTTAGGGTTTCAGGTTAAGGGTTAAGGGTTAAGGGTTTAGGGTTGAGGGTTTCGGGTTTCGGGTTTAGGGTTTCGGGTTCAGGGTTAGGCTTTGGGTTTAGGGTTGAGGGTTTCGGGTTTCGGGTTTAGGGTGTAGGGTGTAGGGTGTAGGGTTTAGGGTTTAGGGTTTAGGGTTTAGGGTTTAGGGTTTAGGGTTTAGGGTTTAGGGTTTAGGGTTTAGGGTTTAGGGTTTAGGGTTTAGGGTTTAGGGTTTAGGGTTTAGGGTTTAGGGTTAGGGTTTAGGGTTTAGGGTAAAAGCAGCGTGGGGGAACGGATTGCTGCTTGGCGCGATTGGACACCTTGTTGATCGGCCCATCGAGGAGGACGCGGCCACACTGGCCGCTGTTCCTGAACAGCTTCAAGGATGTGCTTGGAGGTTCGTGGTACTTATTCACCAATTCTAGCTGCACTTATAGCCCACTTATAAGCCCCTTAAGTGCCCTAATATGGTTATAAGTACAGCTTGAAGTACAGCTATAATTGGCGAACTTCCAAGCGGGGCTCGTGGCAAGCAGGCCTTTAGAGTTGAAGAACATTCAGCGTAGGCTCTGTAGGGCTGAGGCATCAAGCGAGAAACTGCAAAGTGCCAACGCGGACAGCGTAGAACCCACGCTGGAAGGTTTGCTGCTAACGGCTCATGTCTGTCGGGTATGGGCTTTCTTGCAGCTGAACGCCTCAAAGTTTAGGATCAAACTGCTAGGGGCAAGCCGCCCAAAGAGTTGTTCTAAGAAGAAAGGCACAAGGCAAGCTGCTCCAAAGAATTCCTCTTAGACGAAAGCTATCGCCAAACATTGCACAGGTGCACAGCCGAGTTGATGGACAGGCCCATGTTGGCGAGGTTGGCCACCACCATACCAACATCCACCCCACACTGCCTCTGCAAGGCTTTATAGGGTGTGTAGGGTTTATACGGTTTATAGGGTTTTTAGGGTTTTGGGTTTATAGGGTTTAGGGTTTAGGGTTTAAGGTTTAGGGTTTAGGGTTTAGGGTTTAGGGGATGTGACACAAACCTCTTGGCTTCAATGCTTTGAGTGTCTAAAAGGTTTCATGGCTCCGTGCCTTGCGGTTCAGGGTGCCTCAGGGCTCAAGGGATCTAGGGTTGGGGGGGGGGGGATTAGGGTTTAGGGTTGAGGGTTGAGGGTTGAGGGTTGAGGGTTGAGGGTTGAGGGTTTGAAGTTAGGTATTTGCTCGATGAAAGACACGGATCAACTTCATGAGCGCTGCCGCTCCCCTTGGGGCTGTCGAGGTGCACACCCACACCGATTGGACCCTCGCCGATGAGCAGTCGTCGGCCACCCCGCACCGTCTGGTCTCCTTGGGCTAGAGTCGGCTGGAGAGGCTAGTTCCTGCGGGTAGGGGTGGTGCTTTGGGAGACACATCCCGAACACCCGACATCCACTTTTCCAGCGGAGGTGCCCAGGACGCTGATCTTCGTGGTGGTCAGCTGCGGAGGAACTCCCCTCGGGGCCGCAGCTTCGGATTTGGGCTTTTGTTTTGGGTGCCTTAGGGGGGCTCTGGCTTGAAGGAATGTCCACGGCTTTGGGGTCTACGGTCGCTGCACCTTGGGCTCCAGAAACGGAGAGGGGCGAAGGTAAACACTGATTGCCGCGGCAGCAAAACGACAGCAGAAACGACCAAGAGAAAAAACCCGAGCCATGCGAGGGGCTGCAAACAGCCCAGATTTACCAGCTCTTCGGCAAAGGCTGAGCTTGACGGCGAGATCATCTCCGCTGGACTTACCCAGACGCCATCAACACACATGAACACGCACGAAAGAAGCGACCGGGTTGAAGTGTCGGTGGTCACATGTCCCCTACCTGGAGGTGGCGACAACTCAAGTCCGCTCCAGTCATGCCAGTCATGCCAGTGATGGTCGCTCTGGCGCTTTCTGTGCGCAAGCTCATCAAATCCAATCTCTTTGCCCCTTTGCGGTCGTCACTCTCCGTTGCCACGCCATAGGAACAAGGCCAGAAAAAGGACAAGGAACATGATGACAGTTGCTGTTGCACCACGTGCACTGGCAGTTCCCTGCACTGGAAGCGCCAACCTAAAGTGGTGGCGAGCACCCCGAACATCCGTTTCTTGATCTTTACAGCCTTGAGCCTTAGCAACCACTCCTCCAGCATCAACTTGCCAGCCTCGTGCTTGAATCTGGGGTTTACACTCGTGCAAAGCCCATGGGGTACTGGGTCCTGCATGTAGGCGCGGCTTGTCACGACAAACGGGGTTGTTTTTCATAGGTCCAGGCCTCGGGGGCTTTTTAAGCTTCAGGCTGGATTCGGAATGTTGTGGCCAAAGCACGTGCACGTGGCCGCCGCCAGGGAAGCGGTTGCCGCCAGCTCACCCATGACGGAGACAAGGCCGGTCACCTCGGCGTTCGCAGTTGTTTCGGTGTCAGACGGCTCTTCCAGGCCACCAGGCTTGGGTTAGGGATGGCACGGGCTGCTTCACAGCGAGCCTCCAGACCCGTTCGGGACAAATTCCGGCATTCCACATATTTCGATTGAAGGGTTATTGCGAAAGGCATTCCGAAAGCCGGGCGCAGCTGCGCCACTAGTGCAAGCGCCATGAGCAGCCTGCAATTCATGTAACTAAGGAAGGCCAAACTCAGCTAGACCACGCCCACGGAGCAAATCGCATCCACGTTGAGGTTGAGAGCACAGTTCCTTGCAGCAAGGTCGCTTGCCAGGAATCCAGGAGGCTTATCAGGTTGTTGTGCAGTAAACTTCCCTGCCCTGGGGTGGGTTCAAGCGGCTGTAGTGTCGCCTTCAAACGGAACCATATCCATATGCATCCCAGACGTCTGCCTTTTCAGGGCTCTTCAGGGTCACCTGGGTCAGAAAGAGACTGCTTGGAACTTCGAGGCTTGCGCCAATAGAGCAGGATAGCGACGGATAGTGGCGAGGCCCTGCAAAAACCCTGAAAGCCCTCCGAAGCCCTGAAAACCCAGACCATCACCGACCATCCCAAGCCCCGACATCCCAAAAGCAAAGCCAGGAGACCCACCAAAAGGCCGAAAAACCGAAGCCCCCCAATTCAAGAAGGGGCAGCCGGGGCGCGAGGCGGCATAGGACAGCTTCGCGGCCGCGTTGGCCACCCAGGTCACCAGAATGGCGCCGTTCACCTGCTTCCCTAAACCCAACCTTGAACTAAACTCTGAAGCTCATAGCTTCAGGATTTCTCCTCGTTTTGTACAGGATTCTGTGGCAACCCCCTCAAGGAACCCCCTCAAGGAGTGCATGAAGGGACATGGTGGGCCCTTGAAGCGAATTGAGGCCCATTGAGGGCTCATTGAGCGCCAGTGGTTTGCATTGAGGCGGTTTAGTTCTCAGGCGTTCCGGACCAAGCGCGAGTCGGATATTCATGCCGGGGCTGGAGCGCCTGAGCAACCACACAGCCTCAACGAAATCCATTGTTGCTCAATAAGGCTCAATGAACCTCAATGAGCCTCAATGGGCCTCAATGACACTCCCTGGTTCTCAATGGGCCTCGACAGGTTTGACACACTTCTGGAAGGGGGTTCCCTGGCAGGGTTTCCTTGGAATCCTATGAGTTTTCGGACATGGTTGCCCAGTGCGCTGCTGGTCGATGCACCTTTTCTGTTCTATAGACTGAACCCAGCGGTGCAGTATGTGCTGTCGGCAACACGAAGCCGGATTACACCTCTGGTCAAATCTCCTTGAAACGGGGAAACAGGATCAGAAGCCCTCAGCCTGTCTCATGGCGAATGAAGGCTTCCAGCTGAGAGATGACGGGCTTGATGAATTTGAAAGCTTGAGGGGCTGCGGGAATGGGGGTGCAGGGCCTTTAGATCTCAGATGGCAAGGGGCTTGGGGACTCAGGTATTGAGTTGTACTCCGGCGAATGACAGCATGCTCTCCTGGTCTGGAGACAGAGGCTCGACACATGTCTTCGAGGCACTGGTCTTGGCCACTCCTGCATCACCTTCTAGATAAAAACCCTAAACCCTAAACTCTAAACCCTAAACCCCAGCAAATCATCTGGGCTGCTCATACTTTCGGAGGACACTTCTCTGGCTTGGCGATTTTGGATATCTCGGTGGGATCCCTGCAGGTTGCGAAACAACTGGGGCACTGAGGCTTCCATGGCAGATGCTGACCCTTCGGTTCGTCGAGATTTTTTCCCCAGCGACTTTGTGTTTGCCTTTGCCCAAGGACACGCTCGAACTATGTGGGAGTGCATCAACGACCCCGATAGAAAAGCCTGTGTTTTCTATTGATTCGAGACTCTACATGTCCTCCATCTCTGAAAAGGAAAGTCTCTAGCCTCTAGGAGTAGAAGAGCGGAGCAAAAGTTAGAGGCTAACCCTAAACCCTAAACCCGAAACCCTAAACCCCACGAACCCGAAGCCTGGCAGGCGAGCTCCGACTCACCATCACGGGGAGCAGGGCAGGTCCTCAGACCGCTACCATTTTATTTTAGCTCTTGAGCTTCGGATTCAAAATTTGCTATACGGATTTCCGAAAATAGGGGTACCCCAATTTGTACCCCAAATAGAAGAGAATCCCCTATAAGGGGACCCCAAAAGGCTAGCCCTATTTTCGGAAAACCCCTTACAGGGTGTTTAGGGTTAGAGCATTGGAAATCCGTCTAGCTCTTTGTTACCGATAGCACTATCTCTTCTCTAAAAATCGCTCACTTGCCACTGAGGAGGCTTGTTCGTTTGCCAATTGGGTTTGGCCAATTGGTGACGGAGCAGCTTGTGCATGGAGCTGCTTGCATTGTCACATGAACATGCCCTATACAGTCCCCCAATAGTAGGATTCCCTTGAACATGCCTAGTACAATCCCCCAAATTTTAGGACTCCCTTATGATAAGGGCCCCAGTAAGGTACCCCCTATTATCGTAAACCTCCATGTACAGAATTTCTGACCATCTTATCTGCTTTCGCCGCACTGGACGACTTGCATGATCACCCAAACTGATTCACAGTCATGCGCTTGCTCCGCTAGGTACTTTGCTGGATGTTGGGCTACTTATTTGTTAGCCGCTGTTGATGCTGCCTTGAGCTTGTGGACAGGTTCGAACTCCACATGAAACTGCAGAATGCTGCACCATGATGACGGCTTGTCTTCTGAACCATTCGTCAGAAAGCCGACTGCAAAAAGACCCCGGAGACCAGACAAACGTTTTGCAGGCACGGTTCCTGATGATGGCGTTGATGTCATCACCTCAGCACCGGTTCGTTCTCAGCTCTCAGTCCTAAACCTCCAGTAAACCCTTGCCGCCTTTGCAAGCCCTGACCTAGGACCCTAAGAGAATCCACCTTCAGAATCCACCTTCAGAGCCAAACCGACTGAGGCCCTGGCCCATGCCGACCACCGACACAAAGGCCTTGCAGCCAAGCTGGAGAACTCTCCCCCTTCCCTCCTCTCAGCTCTCTTGTGCCCGACGTGTGCCCGACTTTACGCCCTCTGTCTTTCTCGTTCATGGGCTCTTGAAGGGCACGATGTGAAGCCCACCTCCAGCACGTTGAAAGCACAGTAGGCGTTCGTGGCCTGATAGGGAAGACAAGGCACCATCGGCAGAAGGCGACAGGCGGACTTTGCGAAGTAAACGGCAGTATTCCCAATTCCCACAACTCACCTGGCCTTGCGCATACGGTCTGCGTTCCTGGGCTGGGGGGGTCAGGAGCCCCCAAACCCCAAACCCGAAAGTCTAAGAGTCTAAAACCCTACTAGCACAGCCCAGGTGTAAGTCGAGAAGTTTTCCAGCGCGGGATGCACACAAAAAGGTGACGAAGAAATCCACAGAGCCGCTGGCCCCAACTCACTCCTAAACCCTAAACCCTAAACCCTAAACCCTGAAATCGGTTCTGGCCTTCGGGGTACCAGGCATCGGGTGTTTTTTGCTGCCTCGTGGCCTTGCTGAGGTCTGAGGACTTTGAGAACTTTGGTAGCTGTGCTTGGGGCCTGGAGCTTCTTCTTCTTCTTCTTGGAAAGTCTCTGCATTCAAAACCAGTACAGCTCTAACACCCTTCACAATGTCCAACATCGAATGCAGGAGCCTTCAATTTTGCAGCTCAGAAGCTTCTTCTTCTTGTACGCAATGATCTCGTCCTGCCCGTGCGCGTCTCACTTTTGACGTGTTCTGCATACTTGGCGGTCAGACCCTCGCAAGTTTCGAGTCCTTGGTCAACATCTGTCGGGCAGCATCAGCTGGATCTGCCGGCAGAGAGCGAACCTCTGCAGATGGTTTGGTGGGAGAGGAGCTCTCAAAGGTGCCATGGGCAGAAGGACCGAGCTGTCACATAAACTTCATGCTATGCTGCAAATGCAATATCGAGCACGTATGGAAGCAAGACCACGAGGGTCTCCAAAAGCTACGTGTGCACTGCAGAGTCTAAGAACGATGATTGGGCGAACTCCTCGACACCAGGATGCAAGATGATCTGCCCCGATAGCCCATCCTGCCTCGTGACTCTGGTAATGCTCGGAATACTTGTGGCCAGTGCTCTTCATGGCCTGCAGACCAGAAGGATGTGCAAAGAAGGAGTGGTATACATCTCTATGGGAGGGAGCCGCATCCGATTGGAGGTCTTGTAATCGCAAGCGTTTGTACCTTCGGACTCAATACTATAAGGGTGAGGTCGACCCGATCCATTATAGCCAGAGGTGTGGCGATATGCTTGAGTCCAATGAGAAGTACTTTTAAAACTTCTGATCTTCGGGGTGTCTGAGAATATGACCAAGTAATCTCTGCTGAGAGTAAACCTGAGATCGGGGTTGTATTCTACGGGAGTCATAAGCCAAGGTTGTGAGGCCCTGCTTGGCACAGTCTGCAGGGTTAAGAACACAGAGACAAGAGGCAATAGCAGCAAAAGGAAAGGCAAGTAATACTGAAAGCGCGTCACCACCCTCCCGCGATCTACCAACCTCTGGTATACCATAGTCACAACTAAACTTCCGTAAAGAATCTTCAAGCCATGGACATTTGCAGCACCTTCGTGGGTATGGGCGCAGCAGCAGCGTGTGCTCACGCCTTGAGGACGATGTTCTCCGCCAGGCTGCGCTTCTTGACGCTCTTCAGGGCATCGGCCTCAGGGCCCCAGGATGCGCTGGGATGTACGCTTGCAATCATGGGACATCTATCCTTGGCTTCGGATCTTGGGCTGTGGAGGGCACTCCTTCACCCCTACACCCTAAACCCTAAAGCCTAAACCCTAAACCCTAAACCCTAAACCCTAAACCCTAAACCCTAAACCCTAAACCCTAAACCCTAAACTGGAACCGGCCTTCAGAGACATCTGCGCGTCCAAGCCCAAGGAGGACTTGCCCTGGAAGGCGCCGAAGTCCAAGGACTGGCACCTCCTTGGCATGGGGATTAGGGTCTAGGATTTTAGGGTTTAGGGTTTAGGGTTTAGGGTTTAGGGTTTAGGGTTTAGGGTTTAGGGTTTAGGGTTTAGGGTTTAGGGTTTAGGGATTTCTAGAGCTCCTTCGTGGTGAAATCCGCATCTGTTGATACAGTGCTTAAGGTTTGGGGCCGAAGGACGCACTCCTAAACACTAAAACCTAAAACCTAAACCCTAAACCCTAAACCATCAACCCTGACTCCCGCGTGACGAGGCTCTTTGCACCCTAAACCCTAAACCCTAAACCCTAAACCCTAAACCCTAAACCCTAAACTGACTCCCGCGTGACGAGGCTCTTTGCTCCGGGCATGGCCAGGAAGCCCACAACACCCAGGCCCAATGTCGCAACCAAGGCAGCCTCTCCGCCGAGCTAGGAAAGGGGCTCTTTGAGCTGCTTTTTAGGGTTTGGGGTTTAGGGTTTAGGGTTTAGGGTTTAGGGCTTAGGGCTTAGGGTTTAGGGTTTAGGGTTTAGGGTTTAGGGTTTAGGGTTTAGGGTTTAGGGCTTAGGGCTTAGGGCTTCGGGTTAGGCTTTTGAGGCCTGAGTAACTTTAGTCTTCAGGCTTTTCAAAGGAGGCTGCAAAACACCGGGTATTGAAGTTACGGATTTGGCTACGCGCAGGCGTACTTGACTCGAAGGACCATCGGTTCCCCTGATAAGTCTCCTGTGCACCTTCTGCTGCACTAGAGGCTCTTTTTGCTGCCGAATGGAAAACCAGTGAGTCAATGACGACTGAAGCTGAGGCCTCTAAACCCTAAACCCTAAACCCTTAAACCGTAAACCCTAAACCCTAAACCCTAGACCCTAGACCCTAGACCCTAGACCCTAAACCCTAAACCCTAAAGCCATGCCTTCTTCATCCAACCACCAGCGCCCGGAG